CACAGTAATGTATACAAAGGTGACAAAATTCCCTGCCAAATGGTATTGTCTAGTCATCAGGGTTAATTCTTCTCTATATGTCGACCACTTTATTAGTTACATCATAATTTGACCCTATATAAATTATTGTTTACAAATATAACTTTGCCTAGCGTCTCAGATTATACAGAGGATATTTGTTTAGTTCAGTGTAAGATCGGGATATATTGAACCCAAGTGGCTGATGCTACAAATGAAATATGATAATTTTCATATCACAAGATGAAAATAAATCCTGTATTTACAGATAAAACTTGAATTTTCTGTTTATTTATACTTTTAATCATTTTAGACATGACAAATTGATAAACTTCAACTTAAATGTTGTGTATTGGCTGAATTTAGAGAAAGCTAGCCAGATAAGACACCAGTTGAAATACAGAAAACATGTTTCATTGCAGTGAAAATTACTTTCAGTGAAAATGCAGTAAATAAAATTACACATATATTTCATCATTATTTCTCAATATTTCATTTATAAGTATACGATAAATTTCGATCTTGCACTAAACTAATCAAATTTTCTTTTTATTATATGCTAAGAAATGTTTAAAAAGACATTTTAACCTAATACTAAATGAAAAGCACGACAATTAATAATACAAAGAGATGTCATTTACCATGTCACATCATTGAGTACTGTGCACGCTGGTATTTGACTGAATAAATATAACAGGATTGAAAAATATCAAATTGATAATTTGTGAAATACCAGTTTTTAGCTCAACTATTCGAATAATATGGAGAGCTATTGCATTCGCTTTGGCGTCTGTGTTGGTTAAAGTTTTTTGTAAAGTCAAATATCTAAATTATTGCTTGAGATATTCAATTGAAAGTTACAATACTTATTTATGGTGAAAATGTAAATCAGATTGACAAGTTGGATAACTTTGCCTACAATATTTACAGAATTATGCCCTTTTTATAAATTTTAAACTTAAAAATTTTGGTTAAAGGAAAAAGGTCTTGAGAACTATCAAAGATATTTATTTGAAACTTTACACATGTACTTAGGGTCATAATTGAAGGTCACATCTCAAGATCCATTACTCTGCCATGTGTTTTGACTGAATTATGCTCCCTTTTGTACTAAAAAAATCTCCTTTTTTTGGTTAAATTTTACATGCAAGTTTTGCATATCTCTGCAACTATTAAAGATACAAACTTGAAACATGATCACTGAACAGCACTCATATCTGTGTCATGTATTTAGACTGATTTATCTCACCCTATTTTACTTAAGCATTCCTTCCTATTGTTAAGCATATATCAAATAATATTGCATACAACTTCCCAATATCTATGAAAGAGGAATTATATGAAGCATCTTAGAATAATTAATAATGTTTCTCATCAATCATGCATGAAATAGAAAATTTAAAAATAAATAAAATTATAACATTTTAGCTTACCAAAGAAATGACAAACAGACTGACTATGATAGACACATTGTCTAACATAGAGGTAATAAATAGATACAGATTGGACAAAGAAGGGATTAATTATTTAGAAAGAATTTTGCAAAACAAGATTACTCCCCTGGCAAGAAGGAATAATAGCCTGTCTGTGAGAGACAAAATTTTGATTACTTTAAGATATTTGGCTACGGGACCGATTCAGCTAAACGATGCTGATATTCATGGGGTTAGTCAACCAACTGTAAGCAGAGTCATCAATGAAGTAATATCTGCATTAAGCAGTCCAGACATTGTTAGTAGTTTTATTCAGTTTCCAATAGATCCAGATCAACTGAGGAAAAATCAACAGGAATTTTATGGTTTGGCAAGGTTTCCTAAAGTAGTTGGAGTTATAGACTGCATTCATGTAAGAGTAAGGGCACCTTCAATGAATGAGGAGCAGTATGTGAACAGAAAGGGTTTTCATTCCCTTAATGTGCAGCTTGTCTTTGACCCTTTTGACCGCATCATAGATGTTGTGTCAAAATGGCCTGGTTCTGTACACGACAGTAGAATTCTGCAGCAAAGTGGTCTCTTCACTATATTTGAAGGTGGACATATGCCTGCTGGACAATACTACCTTCTAGGAGACTCAGGCTACCCATCTAAGAGATGGCTTCTTACACCTTTTCTTAATCCACAGCCTGGTAGTGAAAGTTCATATAACAGGTAAATATACTGGATTATTTAAATATTATAATTTTATTTCTTAGTAGCTTTGAATTGAAGCCAGAAACATAGTTCAATATAAGACAATAATTATTTTTTTTATATTTAAATCATTCTGAAAACAAAGATATATATTCATGTTGAATGTAATGATATCATACATAAAAATAATGATGTTATGATGTCCTATTCTTGAAAGTTATAATTTCTATATAAAGATAACATTCAATTTAAATGAAAGTTCAGTATGTTATAATTAAAGTAATTGTTCAATTTGCATTGACAATCCAGAAGTCATAAAATTACAAGAGCCAAGGTCGAACGTGGTATAGGACAGTTGAAGAGGAGATTCAGTGTGTTGCATGGAGAAATTGCATTTTCACCTGAAAAAGTTTGCAAGTATGGACTTTTAACCACATTTATAATAAGAAAGTATTGAATTTAATATCTTTTGAAAACAGTCTAGAAAATTCACTCAAAGGCATTTTTATTAGGCCAAGTTAACATTTTCTTATTTGGCTATTAATTACAAGAATAAACAAGAATTTATGAACAAATAGTTTTGACTTACTTCTGGTTTTAATCTACAGACATAAAAAGCCTAAACTTCAATATTTGAACAATGTCATAATATATATATTTAACATATATGCATAACAATTTCTTGCAACAAATTTGTACCTTAAAACAATTGTGAAGTAGCTACCTGAAAATTAATCATATATATCTCATAAACTGCCAGATTTGATTCAAACCCATGAGACAGTAATATTTATACATTTGATCATAGTTTTATGAACAATAAATTGACTTTTTTAAAAATTTTCACCTGTAAATATGATTGCTGTAATAAATATTGGTGGTAAAAATGTTTAAATGTTATAATGCCATACATAAATGGTTCTTGGCAATATAACCCTCTGTTATATAACAGCTTTCAATATAAATGTATAATATATAAAAAGTCTACATAACTTTAAACAATAAAATTATAGGCCTTTGACCAAGAACTAGAATTTAAGAACTATAAACAACATGCCGTAAACAATGTCCCTATCAAAGTCAAGATTCTTACATTTATTCTTTTTTAAAAGTAATTATATTAACATTACTACTATTATTTGAAGAAAAAAAAACAAAAACATTTTCACCAAAATAAGGGGCATGTTTTTTTTAATAATGAATTTGATGTTTTGCATAAAGTATGACTGTATATGAACAGATGTAAGCAATATACCCCTTATCACTAAAATTGCATGTCAACCAATTATAAACCTAATAATTAAAAACATATTTATGTAATTACTATAAAAGATACTTAAAACTGTTATGAGTAGTATGTTAATTTAGTAAATCAAAAATCAGGTAAGGATGAACCAAAGACAGACTTTTTGGGGAAAAAAGTTTAAATTTAACTCTTGTCCTATGTCTATTATACAGGGTAGTCCTTGCATGTGCTGTGTGTCACAATATCTGTAAGAAGCTAAACATCCAGATGCCATCACAAGATGATACAAATGATGATAATGATGATGACACTTCCCCTCAAGATTTTACATGTAATGGGAACAATGCTGCTTTTCTCAATGGTTTGAGATTCAGGGATTATGTAGTACAGACATACTTTTAAACTTGTAAGTAATTATATTGACAATTTTTATCATAACAAGAGCCACTGTTGTTTTGTCCAAGTATGAAGATAACACATATTTCAATAACCAAGTTAAAGTCAAATTACAACAAAAAATAGTGAAAATTAAATAATTTTACTTTCAAAATTTTTTTAAGTTCTTAGTTTGTATCATAGAAATGTGTTAATTATTGCTGCCCAGTAAGGAAATTATGTTTATACAACAGATAATCAAAAGATAACATTTTTTCAGGATGAATAATAATGTTTCACAAATGTTTCAACTTTTCTCTATCTTAAATAAATTTGTTGGAAAAGTTCCAAATTATTTAAAAGTGATCTCAGGAAAAAATGTCTAGAAAAGTACAGACAGACAGATTGTCAGACACTCTGATGGTAAATCTTTAGACATCCCTGGTTCTCACCAGAATATAACATTTTCAAAAGCAAAGTTTTTAAAGTAAAGGGGAGATAACTCTTGAAAAAATGCTAGACTTATGAACATTGTCATACATAATGTGAGTGTAACAGAGAAAAATTGTGGTCAGTTTAAACACAAATGCCCAGGTGCTTGTCAGTAACTAAATTTAAAAAAAAATGTTTACACAGACCAACTGACAGACGGACGGAGAGAATAACCTAAAGTCCCGTCCAGTTTAACAGAAAGGGAACTAACAATTAATACATGCACATGTGAATGTATAAAAATCCATAGTTTTTATTGTTCTATTTTGGAGAAGTATTTAATTTGAAGTTCTAGCTTCTTCTTTTTCAGCTGTCTTGTGTGTTTACATTCTGGACACTGGCACTTAATGCAGGAAATTGATGTCATGCTTCGTTTGGTTGTTGTATGTAGTGGAACCTCTAACAATTCATTACTGTCAGTAAAGTTGTCAGGAAACACAAATTCTGTAATTCTGTAAGATATTGATCAAAGGAGTTCAGATGGACTGAATGATGTAAACCTGTTTTAGACATTTATGTTGCACTTGATAAATGAATCTTATGTCTAAGAATATAAGAATGTTTGTTTTCCCTGTGTTTAAAAGAGACTGCTGTAGTAAATTTCAAATTTCAAACATGTAAAATAACTGAATGGCAATTGTTTGAATTTATATCATTTCCACATCTCATATTTTTAAAATAAATTTAATTTCATGCATTTTATTGGACAGTGATTTTTTTCTTCACATTAAAATTACAATATATATTTATTACTGTAGTCAGGCAGACTATATTTTATTTGAATGTGGATGGACAAATTGTACCACACCTAAATAGAAATAGCAACTGGAATCAACACTGTTGCAATTATTGCAATTGTAAAAATTGGCTTCTTTAAGAGAAGCAAGTAAATATATAAGTAATAATAAATAATAATAAAAGCATAAACATTTTGAGAAATTTTATAGAATTATCTTTTAAAACTGTTAGTGTGACTTCTTGAAGAGGAATGCATGATGTTAATATATAATACAGAATAAACCAGCAAAAAATGTCTGAATATGATTTTTAGAAAGCATGAAATAAAGAGTAAAAATGTTTGCATAACATGTAAGACCTAAAATATTTTATCTGGTGTTCACTCTTATGATATGATACCTATTCCAATCTGAATTGCAAAACAAACAAATGTACAATATGAATTATAAGCATTTAAAATTGAATACATTACATTTCATTTTCTTCTGTTGTTTTAGTCTGTGCTGTCTCCCGTGCCAGTCTAAAAAGATAAAGGGGATATAGTCATTCAAAAGTAATGTTACTTTCTAACAAACAGTTTGTGCAGAAAAATCAAAATTTAAATGTTTATAAACATTCAAATGGAACATTACTTACTAACAGTAAATGCAGTCAATCAAAAAGTAAATCTTTATATATTTGAAAATGACTGCAAATTGGTTTGAGTTGATTTGAAAAAAAAATCTACCCTGTCCCATTGTTCATTGTTGTATGTACATGACATTTATAAATTTCTAGCCTCGTGAAAGAATTTTTGTCTAAAGCTAATATAATAGTGTAGATAAGTAAATTATCACCATTATCTTTTTTGTGTACTAATAAAAATTGTGTAACTAAACAACAATTAACTTTAAAGAAGAAGGAATGATTAATGTTTAATTTCATTTTACACTTGACTTGTCTTTAACTTACTTGATTTGTTGTTGATAAATTTAGCATTTGATAGCTCATCATTTAAGTCACTTGATTAAAAAATATCTCTTGTTAGTAACAAGTCTTAGCTATAAATTTTGTAGTTGGAGACATGTACAATTTAAGTTTTGTAATATGATATAAATATTAAATTATTATATTAAAAATCACCTTTCAAGCATGATCAATGAAGTGTCATTTTTAGAAGAGCCAGGAACTCCTACTATATTTTCCGAAGCTCTTCCAATAACATCCATTATGGCTTCTGTCACAGCAGATAATGTTCCTGGGCATGGTCCACCACCTGAAAGTTTATTTAAAATGTCAGTGTGCAATATGACCCTAATATGTCCCAATTTGAATTGTCACAATGGAAAAACAAAAAGAATTTCACCACAACTGATTTTTAAACAAAAAAAAGGAAACATTTTTGTGCTTAAATATATTAAATTTATTAAACAAATAAACATTCTGTCATCCCTATCAATCAATTAAAAAGGAAAAAATAAGCACTAAGTCTTCCAATTTTTAGATACAGAAAAAATAATTATGGTACAAATTTTGTTAAGAGACTGAAAAAGCAATAAAGCAGGTTTACACTTAGAATTGGTGCTGATATGCACATTGTTTATATTTTTTTTATTTTTAAGGCCCATTATGCCTCTAAAATGATATATTTTGTTCCCTGAAAATCTTTTGAATTTTTGTATCTTGTGTGTTTTCAAAGTAATACTTATTTGCCATAAACATGGACTAATTTATGAAACTATAGTTCTGTTGGCAATCAGTATTATTGTAGTGTATAAGTATTTTGTATGGAAGTCAAAATGCTACTTTGTTTACATTTTGCTATCTTTATGACACATTACTGCATGTTCGGGGAGTGCTACTTTTTTCATTTGTTAAACATATATTAAACAGGTCTAATATAGGGAGATTAAGCGAGAATGACAGCGAATCACAATTTCGTTTAACTCTCAAAGAAAAATGGCCGATAGCCGGCCATTTTCCACTGTTCTCAAAGATTTCGTGTAAACTTGGAAATGAACAAGCATGGACTTATAATACTAATGCAAAAGCGATTTGTATTAGTTATTTTCACATGTATGTCATCGTCATTTTTAAAACAAATGATTATATACAGTAAAATAACAATATTTATCGAGTGAAAAGTATAATTTATTAAAACAAAATTAGGGAGAAATACTACTTATCAAAACCGTTAATCATTATTATATTAATTTATTAAAATCATGTATATCTCATGAGTTACAATAAAAAAAGTGTTTGATAGAAACGTCTTATATACAATTCTTTGGTAAGAACTGAGTAAGCAGATCCGAAGCAGACATAAAAAGTGCCGGACAGTCCGCGTACCGTTTACCGTCGATACATTTACAGCGCTTTTGCAATTGACGTCACAAACGTCCCGCCAATTTTCAGCTTTCATCCTCACACTTTCTTGTTAGTAAGAGATTTTGTGTTTGCCTTTTTTTAAATTGATTGTAAAAGCTGAAAACGAGTGTCGTGATTGCAGGATAAGTTTCCTTTCTTAATTTTATCATTTTGTATGTATCTGAAAGAATATTGCAAATTTATTGAAACAATTAAACGATCGCACGAATTTCTGTTTGTTACCGAGTGCCATATTTCTACATTTAACGCCATGACCACATCTTTTCAAAACTAAATATTTATGCCGTTTCATGCCCGAATGACGTCAAATTTAGATATGATGTACCTTAAATATACATAAATGTGTTGGGGGAATATATGGACAAACAAGAGTATAAATTATGACTAAAAATAGACAATAACTATTTTGATGTGCTGCGCCGGGTGCGTGATACCATGGTTATTCAATATCACAGGAAACGCGCGTTCATCAAAAACGATCCCTATACATATGAAAATATTCTAAATTTGATGAAATATGAATATGCAAGAATCTCAGTCCTATAACTTTTTGAACAACCCTCGTACATATATGACAGCTGTGTTCTTGTACAAAATAATTTAGTATTGTACTCAACAATGTATAACAATGTATAATAACCTAAAATCATTTGCGTTTAAGTCGTATTAGTCATTTGTAGTTTTATATACAATGAATCTTAGGATTTCTGCTTTTGTCACTGGTTTGAAAATGTTATCAAATTCTATGTATCTTATAAAAACTTAAATCAACATTTTACAATGTTACAAACATTAACAAAATGAAAGCAGTTGAATGTGACCGTAAATTATATGGCATTCATATCTGATTTATTTGATTCTGAGAGATTTCTTTTAATATCGATGTAATTGTTGAGGTTAAGTATTATACAGCTGATATGATATTGTAATGAAATAATACTTACCCTTAGTAAAATGCCGAGAATCTCCTTCAACTGTGAAATAGAAAACGATTCAAGAAATCTTTACTCTGAACCAGTTATATTAAAACAATTTTGTATTGGCTATATAGTTTTTATTTTGTTTTTATTTCCTTGAACGAAGTCATGTTTTGTTTTTGGAAAATAACATACTGTTTAGTATTTTACGGCAATATGTGTATTTCATTTTTTGGCGATATTTGCTTTTTTTGTAGGACAGGCATAGAAATCTAAATAATTCAATAATTTATTAAATTCTTTTTTTTACTGTCAACACACAATGTTGTTGTTTTTTGTTCAGGTTTTGTATTGTGTGTTTATTTAATTTATTGCAGTCATCCCATGTAGTATGCATCTCTCTTGTTCGAGTTAATCCATTACAATCTAGTTTGCAAGATTGCATACATTCGATATTTAAGATACTGGTTCATATAGCTCTCTAAAGATATAATATATGTCATTTTCTTAAACATATAATTAGAACTGCCTTGCTTCATTTCGTTCTTAAATAAAATTACATAAATGAGTACACAGAACATTTTTGTATTAAGCATGCTCTGTAAATTGATATTATTTTTCTTTTCAAGAATTCTTTATAAACTAGTGCAACGCTGGCATGATAACGTTATGATTATAGACAGAACACTAGTTTATCTATAACGCCGTAATATATCATCAACTTTTTAAAATGTTTTTGTTGTTTCCATGAACATATAAATGAATTAGGTCAGATATTTGCTATTTGTGACATACATACATACATAAAAGGTTAACCATGTTCAAAAGGATTTATAGGTTACAAATATTTAAGACCTTCAATGATAGCTGATATGAAAGCTTATCATATAAACATTGAGTTTGCAAGTAAATATTTATGAACTTAAAACAAAACTTAATAAATAAATTTTATAGTATTATAAACCAGTATATTGCAGTTTACTTCCGCTGCCTAAAGTTATAAACAACGATGGCTCGTGTGTTTTATAAACATGTAGAAGCTCAAAATGTGTATGTTTTTTAAAGAACGATGGTTTTCCTTTTATATGCATTTTTACATATCCTTGCGTGGATTATAACATTTCGTACACACGCTTCGATGATTGAAAATCTTTGTATTAGCCAGTGTTCTTGATTGTCTTTATATACAAGAAGTACCAATGATGCTCACGTAACTTCTGTTTTGAACATTTAAATGAAGAAAGGACAAAAATATAATTGAAAATGAAACAAGGTGGGGGTCACAGAGTATGATGCATTTAACTAGCGATGGAAAAAATAATAACATCACACAAATTCATATATCATATATTCAAACTTAAGAAATCTTTATACTATATCAGATTCATTATCACTGACTCAATTTTCTGTTTACAAACTTAAATGTCTGTTGCAGGAAGAAAACGTTTTCAAAGAGATACAATGATTGTGTGACAAATTGGCTTGGAAAATGATTTTTGTGTATATAAATGGGATATTGTCCTAGTTGGCTTTTAATTGTATCGGTGATTTTTGTCCTAGTGGGCTATTATCACGTGGGTTATTTCCCGCTGGGCTCTTGACTTAGTGGGATATTGTCCTACCTTTTGTCTACCTAATCATCATATTCAGTTCACAAATGGATATTTTGCTAAAAGACAGGAAAAAAACAGAAAATGTTGAAGTTCTGCAATTTGATATCATGATAATCTTTATTTACAGTAAATGATCATAACTATCGAAAAACTTCAGAACATGTGATATACGTGTATTTGAAATACTTTGCATGAATTGTCGAATTTTTCAAAATAACTGGTTCAAAGTAAAGCTTTCGAGAATCATTTTCCGTTTCTCAGTCAAAGCAGATTCCCGGTATTTTATAGAAGACTTAGTACTGTTTCTTTACAATATCATACACCATTGACAATTGCATGATTTTGCAAGTGGTTCTCTAACTATTTCGTTTCCTGCAACAGAAATTAAGTTTGTACACAGACATTTAGGTCATTGATATTGCGATAATTATAGTATTAATATTTTTAAGTTTTTAAGTATATAAGATATATTAATTTATATAAAGTAATTATTTTTTTCTATCGCTTATTATATGAATCATAATTTGTGACACTCGCCTTGTTTCTTTTTCATTCTTTTTCAGTTATATTTTTGTCCTTTCTTTATTTTAAAGCAAAACTTGTGTAACGTGAGAATCATTGGCACTTCAAATATATACAGACATTCAAGTAAATTGGTTAATACATATAAATTAAATCACTGTGACGTTTCTACGGAATGTTATATTCCACGGAAGGATATGTGAAAACACATATAAAAGGAAAACTTAGATAAACGATCATCGTACTTTAAAAAACATGTCATATTGAAAGTCACCTTTTGAACTTCTACAAGTTTACATGTATAAAACTTTGGAGGATAAAGAATTTTCCGGGGGAGCATGACCCCGTACCCCCCCCCCCCCGATTCTGGCTAAAACCAACCAAATTGGCCGCACCAATCATTAAATCGTGACCACGTGCCTGTGTTGATATGAATAACAGTAAAAAGGAAAAAACCTTGTTTCGGGTTGTTTATTTTTATCCTGTCTACATATTTTCATGCAATGACATGCTGTTTAACATTGATCGCTAACAAGTAATTTTATCTGCTATTAGATACTTTATGGCCTATTATTATGTACTTATGTACGATTATAAACATCATGTATAATTATCTATAATATGTTTTGGATCTTTCTTTATTTCGTTTAGATTATCCATTTATTATTATTCATGACATTGTTAGGCAACATCTTAAGTCTTGAGCATTATTATTCGGTGGGAAACAGACTCGATAGCGTATTTTAAAATTGATAAAACGTATAAAATGTCAGACAAACAAGCAGCATAATAATGATTACACAACTATAGACATGTTTTACCACTGTAAGAGTAGCAAATTCAAGTTCTTATGTTTC